CATATCAGTTAGCCTGCCTGTCTGCCTATTAAATTACTGTGCAAGTTTAAACTGTCCGAGCAAATGCACACAGATTTTAAGTACTGTATCTCATGGCCTTCAGTTCCTTTTAGTTCCAGATATCAAATTCACCTGCCAGAAATTAAATAATTGAGCTTTGGTTACTGGAATGTAAGCTTATTAACTGGCATTAATAAAACCAAACATATAGAATGATGTTCTTAATATTATTTTAATAAAATCTTTTTTCAATAGGAGCAAATGTAACAAAGAGGAATCATTATGAAATGTTTTAGCAAGAGGTTTTAGATATTTTTTAAGTAAAAGAATAATCTTATACACAAGGGAAAGCGAATAATTATGTAGGTTTTGGATATTTTTTAAGTAAAAGAATAATCTTATACATAAGGGAAAGCGAATGTTATGTTCTTCTATGAAAACATGTGGTTGGGAACGGTTGGTCCCTCCAGTGTGGGAACACGGCTGGCAGTTAGAATACCAGCGGGTAAAGATGACAGGGAAGAGAGGGGTGCTGGGGGCCGGATCCTTCAGGAAACACAGTCAGAGGCCCTCCCTGTCTTCAGCTCCTAGGAGGGTTCCCAGGCCATCGGAGGGCACCTGCCTTTCCTCTTTCCCCCAAACAGCCACGAGGGTCCTTACCTTCGGAAAGAGCTTTCTAAGCGGGATTCCAAACTCCTTTGGTTACACGAGAAACTACTTCACTCCTCTATCTACTCATTTGTTTTCTTATTTACTTGTCCGTTCACTTCCTTCACTCATTTTACTAAAATGCAAACCAGCTGAGGTCAGGGGCTTTTGGTTTTGTTCCCCTAAACAGTGCCTACCACGGGCAGGAGCTTGATGAATATTTATGAGTTTTTGAACTACTTTGTCCTTTTATTCCTCAAATATTTATTCAGTGCTTACCACATAACGAGTTCTAGAGGTCGATATTAAAGAGAAATTCCACTGTAAATAAAATAAAGCCAACTCATGAGAAATCTTTAAGTTAAAGTCGTATCTTCTCACTTGACGTTCAGCCTAAATTTAAACTAAGAGGCTAATTCCCTGCCCTGCCAAAGAAGAATGGCAGGGAAATGTACACTATATGGCACTTGTCCCAGAATGATATAATACAAAACCAAACTCTGGGTAAAAGGGAAACAGCTGGTTGTGGGTGTAGCTATCGGAAGGTGGCACGAGGGGTCTTTGTAATGACGGGCAGTGTTGTATCGTGACTGCGACGGTGGTTACACAAATCCACACACGTGTCGACATGGATATGGCTAAGCGCACACACACACTCGCACAGAAATGAGTGCACGTAAACCCAAATAAATCTGAATTAAAGCTGATGAACTGTATCAATACCAATTTCCTGGTGTGACACTGTGCCATGACTATGCAGGAGGCCGGCGCTGAGGGAAACGAGAGGAGCATGCGGGAGACCTCTCTCTCCTGTTTCTTGTAACTGCATATCAACCTATAATAATTTTTTAAAAGTTACCAGAGTTAAATAGCAGGATGCTTATCAAAAACTTCTGTGTATTAGCAAAACATTGGCACCAAGATAGATATCCAATAAAGGAGCTGAACCTATATGACAATATATTGCGTAATGACAAATAATGTAATTATGTTTGTGACATGGAAGGTAATCCCCATTCAGCAAACAAAAGAAGCAGGGTTTACAAAATACGGTCTAATTTTGTTAAAAAGTCAAGAGCATTTGTAAAGTTATATACCAAAATGCCAGCAGCGTCTATCTTAATTTTGCTTCTTCGTAGATCTTTTTATTTCCTAAAATAAACACTATTACTCAAGCAAATATCTAAAAGGCTTTCTGTCCTCTGAGTGGGGTTCAGGTAAAGTCTGTGTAGCTCTGGGACAGAAACCAAGACAGCCGGGAAGATGGCATGGAAAGCCGCGTTAGCTCCACGTCAGGACGGATGAGCTACCTGCAGGGGTCGTGGGCACGAACCTCACCTCATGAGCCCAGGCTGCCAGTGCGAAGCCGCTCCCGGGACCGGGGGACCCCTTATCAGTAATTGTGTGATGGGAGCCTGGGATGCAGTCTGGGACGGTGGCCCAGCTGCTTTCCAATTCTAAAGCTCTCTGCCGTTTGAGTTTGCAATGCATTTAACAGACACCACCTTTCATTCCAAAAGCCGCTCCCTTTACATTTCAAAGCATTTTCACATATGCTGGTTTATATTAATTTCAGTTTAGTACTTTTAAAACAGCTTTCCTACGACAATTCTATGGAGTAGGCAGGGCAAGTATTATCACCTCCATGTTACTGAAGAGAAAATAGAGGCAACCTGACGGTGATCTGTTAAGGCTGAATGAGATCACATCTCCTGAGTCTGACTTAGGGCTCTAGCCCCCTCCTCTAACACCACATCGCCTCTCCCTTCCCACCGGGGATTGGAAACTGGGTAGACTTGGCCGAAAGTTGCTTGCGCGTTGCCTGCCAGTTGGAAAAAAATCAACAATGCTTTGCACAGAGTGATAGTAAGTACTGCCAATGACATACCCATCTGACTGTCCCCACGTACTTACATTGGCTGGGTTAATGTCAAGTAACCAATATGTCAACTCATCTTAAAAATCAAGATCAATCAAACCAGCTGGATGACTTGAACAGCCCAGGAGGCTGATGAATCTAGTTGGTGATCTCAGTCAGGATAACTGCCCCATACTTGTGTCCCCATAGTCCCAAGAAGGAGTCATAAGTGGGGCTTCTGGGCCAGTTAAATAGTGAATGGGGTTCATATTGGGCTTGATGAAGCGGGGCTTTGTTCCTTTTACCAAAGGAATTAACAGAGGAATTTTGTATTTATTTTGTGGTGGTAGCAGATTAAGCACTTCAGCAATAATGTGGCAATTCACCAAAAGAGGTCTTAGTTAGGTGCTATCTGAAATCATGAAATTAAGTGGGGAAACATACACATGGAAAAGGTTTATATGTTTTAGAAAAATAAATCCAAATTTTAGATAAATGATACTCTTCTCAAAGTATACTAAACAAATGATATATTTTCATTGGCTGATGGCGCCATTTACACTCATATATTACTTTCCACGTGCCAAGCCCTCCTCTGAGGACCTCTGCTCAGAACCACCCCAGGAAAGTCGTGATAGGAGGGAACTGGAGGGTCAGCAACAGTCAGGTCATTTCCCTCAAGCCACCCAACCACCGAGTAGAAGCAAGAGGATTTCAACCCAGGTCTGATGACTCCCAAACCAGCATGCTTCACCGTTATTTGTTCTCTCAAAACGTCAAAAGAATATGCTCTTTTTATGAAAAGGAAGGAATGAACATTTCCTTAAAATGGCATAATAAATCTCTCCAGGAGACAGAGAGTTAACTTGGAAACACTGAGAGAAACTAGGCTGCACCTGACATACAACAGCACACCAGGAGGCAGGAGCGGAACAGGGGGGCCAAAAAGAATAAAGGCTGATTAAATCAATGTGCCGCTATTGTAAATAGATTATTATTGATCAAGGCGACAATGTGAAAAATGCTTGAAATGCCTAGCTTCGTAGTTACATGAAACCCCGTCTCCACACTGAATCTACTCCCTTATTCAACAAACAATTCTGGATCACCGACCATATGCCAGGCGCCATTCTAGGCAGTATGGTCACCACACTGGCTCAACAGGCGTTCCGGGCTTGGGGGCGCTCACAGGGCCTTCTCGAGAAAATGACGTCACAGAAAGGGAGCTTGAGGTAGAGGATTTGGGTTTTAATCCTGGCCAGATGGCCTTAAGCAAATTACTTGAAATCTTTCTGAGTCTCGGTTCCTCCACCTCTAAACTGAGGATAAAAATATGTTTTTATTATATCATCTTTTATTAGGAAAAATTTGAGTTTATATGTGAAAAGAAAACTACTTATTCTTTGGTCTTAGAGAAACTGAGGTAGTTGAAGAGAAATAAAAGTTTTGTTCTCATTATTAAATCTTTCAAAATATTTCATTCCATATTTTCCATGATCTAAGCTCTCTGGGTTTAATGTTAACCATGTGTAAGACTTGCGGGGTCAGGGGAAGGTCACTCTTCCATACTTAGCCACCAATTTCCAAGTCTATGTTACAGGCTTAAGATGACAAAGTTATGTGCATTTCCCCTTACTTTGGAAGGAAGTTGGATTGAAATTATATCTTAGTGCTTATTTCATTTTAAAGCTTATACAGAGAGATGTCTATCTCTTTAGAAACAGGTCCATAGCAATCGATTATTTCTAAAATCTCTGAGTAATTCTCTTTGCTATCCATAATGATAATGATATTATTTCATTGTGAGAGCGAAACAAGACCTAGGCGGAGGTGGGTGTGTCCCAGGCCCACAGGAATGACCACTGCCCAGCATGTGGCGGCACTTTATTGATGAAATCAAAGAGATTGGATCGAGTCTCCCGGTTTACCTGCCCTTCCCCAGGAAGGGGAGGGGGTGGGAGCATTTCCAAGGCTGTTTTTATCAGCTCAGCAAATCAGAGTCCTGCTTTCTAAACAAAGAGGTGCCAACCTTGAGACCCTGTGAAAGCCAGCACAAGCCAGGCATTGTACACAAGTGAAAAGAATATAATTAGCAAAGTTATAGTCACAATTAGGAAATACCTCCACAGAAAAGTTTCCACGTAACTCGGAGCAGTGCTCAAATTACCATTGTGCTTAACGAGGCCTCTGTCTCTGGGCCCGTCCAGACCTCGCGACAGACCTCAGAATGCCAGCGCCATCCACAAAATACAGACATACAAAATCTAACGCTGGATGTTCTTTTTAATATCGGATCTGAAAATGTGCAAATGGGAACATGGAAGGTATAATTTAAAAAATAAAAATAAAAAAAGCAGGGTAGTCCCAGAAATGACAAGTCAGGTGTTAGCGAAATTATTCTTTCTCCAAGTCCCTTCTTCATCTCCTCTAGCCTTCCCTTCCCCATCCCTAAAGAGAGGTCAGACAAGAGAGACTAGGAAACAAAAACGGGGACTCACTTCATCTCCAGGATCTCCTCCAGCTGCTTCCTCCTTTCCATGCGGAGGTTGGCCAGGTGCGCCTCCTTCTCCGCCAGGGACTGCTGCGTGGACGCCAGGCGCGCCTTGGTGGCGTCCAGCTCCTGTCGGGTCTTCTCCAGCGCGCTCATCAGCTCCTCTATCTGAAAGGCACATGCAACGCGGTTAGGTCCCTCGTTCAGGCGCGAGGCCTTGCTTGTCAGCCGGGGCTCTGAAGCAGACACAGGCATCAGAGCCATCCTTGAACCGGGCACTGTATCCCCAAGTCCATTTTGTCTTTGTCCCTCGTGAAAAACAAATGTTCCAAACACAGGAAATGTCCAAATTTCTCCAAGATCCTCATTCAACTGCATTGTCAAATAACCTTCGTAGGAACTATTTGATATATTTATTAGAGGTGGAGGGTGAGTGACTTGACCCGATTTCAACTGTGTTTGGCAAAAATCTAAGCTATTGCCTCCCGGTTGGTGGAAGGCGACATTCAAAATGCACTTTGCCCAGCACAATATACTTTTGTGTGCAGCCCCAGGGTATCCCGACAGGAAGTTAATCTACGTGTTTCAGATGTATTCACGTTTTAACCTATCAAAGCCTTGTTTGGCAGAAGTGATTTGATGTCCAAGGGGCCTCGGGAGCCCCCTTTCACCTCACCTCCCAGCCTCCGTCAGGAAGGGAGATTTGGCCAAAGGTAAACAGAATCCCAGCCACAAAAGATTCAAGTTTGGTTTGCCCCTGAAGTCTGAGAGGGTTCTAAACTTGAAATAAATGACATGTAACTTTTATAGGGTGCTAATACACCATAGAAATAAGCCAGACTATCAGATATCCAGGGTTTTCAGCCAGGTCCCAAAAAATTGGACCAAGAAGCCCCAAGGCAAGGCCTTGTCCTCCCCAAACCACTGGGGGCTTTTAAAAAACCAACACACAACAAAGAGGGCTGGTGCTCGTAGTTCTGTTCCAGAGACTTCCGTGGAGCGAGCTGGTGGCACGCCATCCCCTCGCGCAGATGCAGGCTGCGTCCACCCTGCTGATTTAAAACTATGGAAGTTCCAGGAAGTTTCTAGATTCCAGCGTTGATGTTTGGGTTTCTAAGCCACCCCTTTCAGCTAAACTTGGCAGAATGGGATCATCCATCACCAGAGGCAAAGGAACACACTTCAAAATGTGTCAGTGACATGTTAAGTTCCAATTCATAAAGACTTTCTACACAATTTCTGCAGCTTTGCGTGGAATTTACTCAGAATAAGCCTTATAGTTCACATCCAAGGTAAATTACAGGCTTTTAAGATTCATAAAACCCTCCATTCTGCCCTGATAAAAAGAGGAAACTCGATGACCATGTAATGTGACTCAAAGCCAAAGCCAAAAACAGTTTAAAAAGCAAAGAATATGAAAGTTAACCTATGAAAGTCACAGAACCACACCTGCTTAATTGGAGAATAAATAGTATTATTCTTTAACTTTACAAATATACAAAAATTAAAATAGAGTCACAAACTCTTTAGTTTCTCACACAAGTTCATAGACTATCATAAATACGACATTTCCAGAAGCCCTTCTACAAAGCAATACTTGGTGAGGCTGAAGCAGAGATTTTATTCTTCCTCCTTTGCCCCTGCTTTTGATACACTCAATAGCATGTAAAGAGATCAGGAGGGGTCCAAATAATGCACAGGAAGGCCCTGAACTCACCTCCTCCCACAAATACAGACAGAGCAATTCCACCTGAAGAAGAACTGAGGGCCGACCGAGCAGCTTCTGCACAAGAAATGACAGAGAGGCCGCACAGAAACGGGCAGGAGAGATGGAGTCGAGGTTCTGTGGGGAACCCTCCTCCCACAAGTGGGCCTGCAGTAGGGGTGGAGCACTGAGGAGCCTGGTGCAGACACACCAGCCCTGGGGTTCAGCACAAAGGCAGTCATTTAAAGGGCACCTACACTAAATGGGAAATAAATCAACTGTCTGACTGTAGAGCACCTGCCAAATTGGGGTTGAGGGGAACTCTCTGGAACTGGAGGCTCCGGAGAGCGTCATTTGTCATGTTACTCCACCACCCTGAGTGCACAGGCAGGAGGTCAACCAAGGAGCTCTAGCTTGCTGACCAAGCCATCCTAGTGCACCCCAGTCTGGAGGCCCCAGCTCCGAGGCCCGCACCAGCTCCACCACTTGCCCTAGGACTCCAAGCAGCTTGCACCTGCTCCAGCCATAGCTCCTGGCGCCACCCAGAGCCCCTGCCAGCTTCAGCTACAGCTCCTGGCCAGTGCTGCTTACCCTCAGGACTCTACGGAGCCTGTTCCAACTATAGCTTCCACCTCAACCTGCCAAGATCGTCTCTGGTGTCACTTACCCCTGGGACTCCTTGTGGCTCACACCTGTTCCAACTATAGTTTCAGGCCCTGGGGCAGTTTTGTCCCAGGAACTGCTGTTGGCGTGAGCTCCTTCAGCTACAGTTACAGCCCAACCACAGCTTGCCCCTGGACACATGGCCCATGCCCACACCAGCTGTGGAGCCAGCCAAAGGGGAAGCTCCTACACAAGGCCACTCCTTCAAGACCAAGAAAGGCTGCTATTTTCACCTAATTCATAGATTAAAACTCAGAGAAATAACCAAAATGAGGAGACATAGGAATATGTTTCTAACACAAGAACAGAACAAAATCTCAGAAAAAAAATAAAACACTAAATGAGAGACAAGTATCTACCAGATAACAAATTCAAAACATTGATTATAAAGATGTTAAACAAACTCAGGAGAAGAATAAATGAACTTAGTGAGAATGTCAAGAAAAGAACAGAAAGTATAAAAAAGAACCAATCACGCCCTGGCCGCTGTGGCTCAGTTGGTTGGGCTTCATCCCATGCACCAAAAGGTTGCTGGTTGGATTCCAGGTCAGGGCACATGCCCAGAGTTGTGGGCCTAATTCCAGGTAGGGGATATGCAGGAGGAAGATGATTGATGTTTTCTGCTCTCACATTGATGTTTCTCTCTCTTTCCCTTTCCCTTCCTCTCTCTCTCTAAAAATAATCAACAAAAATATAAATACATATAAAACAAAGAACGAATCAGAACTGATGAATACAATAACTAAAATGAAAAATATATTAGATTAAATCAACAGAAGATTAGATGTTACAGAAGGCTGAATCACTAACCTGAAAGACAAGTAGTGGAAATCACAGAATGGTAGCAACAAAAAGAAAAAAAAATGAGAATAGTTTAAGGAACCTCTGAGAAAACACTAAACATACCAACATATGTATTGCAGCGGTCTCAGAAGGAGAAGAGAGAAAAGGGCAGAGAACCTATTTGAAGAAATAATGTTTGAAAACTTCCCTAACCTGGTGAAGGAAACAGACATCCAGTTCCAGGAGGCACAGAGTTCCATATGTGATAAACCCAAAGAGGCCCACACGGAGACACATCGTAATGAAAATATCAAAAGTTTCCCTCACAGGGTAACTTAGTTGGTTAGAACATAGTCCTGACACACCAAGGTTGCAGGTTCGATCTCTGGTCAGGGCACATATACAAGAAGCAACCAATGAATGCATAAACAAGCGGAACAACAATTTGATGTATACTCCCCTCTCTAAAAAGAATCAATAAATAAAATTTTTTAAAATGCCAAAAGTTAAAGAGAAAATCTTAAAAGTGGCAAGAGAAAATCAGTTTGTTACACATAGGGAAAACCCTGAAGACTATCTGCTAAATTTTCAGCAGAAACTTTTCAGAACAGAAGGGAATGGCACAATATATTCACAGGAATGAAAGGAAAAACCTAAAACCAAAAATGCTCTTCCCAGAAAAGCTATGCTTCAGAACTGAAGGCAAAATTGTTTCCCAGACAAGCAAAGCTAAAAGGGTTCATCACCACTAAACTGACACTAAGAAATGCTAAAGGGACTTCTTTAAGTGGGAAAAAAAAAAAAAGCTAAAACTAAAAGTAAGAAAATATAAGAAAAAAAATCTCACTCATTAAGGCAAACATTTACTAAAAGTAGTAGATGAACCAATTATGAAGCTGCTATTAAAGTTAAAAGGCAAAAGTAATAAGATCATGTGTAACTACAATAATAAATTAAAGGATACACACACAAACACATGGTGTGAAATATAATGCCAAAAAACGTAAATGTGGGGGGTGAGTAAAAAATGTAGTACTTTTAGAATGCTTTTGATCTCAGTGACCATCAACTTAAAATAGACTGCCATAAACACAGCTTTTTATATATGAATCTCATGGTAACCACCAACCAAAAACCTATAATAGATATACAAAAAAATAAAGGGGAAGAAACTCAAATTATTAAATAAAGTCATCAAGTTACAAGAGAAGAGAGCAAGAAAAAAAAGAAAGGAACAGAAAAGAACTACAAAACAACTAATAAAATTGCAATAACTGCATACCTATCAATGAACACTTTAAATATAAATGGACTAAATATTACAATCATAGATATAGGGTGGCTGAATGAATTAAAAAAACAAAGAACAAAACCCTTGCATATACTGCCTACAAGAGACTCACTTCACGTTGAAAGACACACAGACTGAAAGTAAAGATTAGAAAAAGATATTTCATGAAAATTGAAATGAAAAGAAATCTGGGGTGGCTATACTTATTTCAGACAAAATAAACATTAAAAAAAAAAAAGACTGAGACAAAAAAATGGACATTAAAAAACAAAGAAGTGCATTACATATTGAAAAAGGGATCAATTCAACAAGAGGATATAACCCTTGTAAACATCTATGCACCACAGGGAGGGGAACCTAAAGAAAGAAAGAAATAATAACAGAAATAAGGGAGCGATCGGAAGCACTACAGTGATAGCAGGCAATGCCAACACTCCACTCACACCAATGGACAGATCTTCCAGACAGAAAATCAACCAGGAAACAATGACCTTGAATTAATGACACATTTGATCAAAAGGCCTTGATAGATATTTACAGAACATTTCACCCCAAAACAGCAGAATGCACATTTCTTTTTCAAGTGCACATTCTCCAGGATAGACCTCAGTAGGTGACAAAACAAATCTCAGTACATTTAAGAGGGTTGAAATCACATCCGGCATCTTCTGCAGTCACAGTGGTATGAAACTAGAAATCAATTACCAAAAAAACCCTAAAATGCAC